CTTTTGAGTCTCAAGGTCAAAAAGTCTATATCCTTTACTTGAAAGACTGTAACTAGCAAATATACATCTTTTTGTTTTCGAATCTCATTTCTTTCTATTTTCCTTTGATACATGCATATAGGCAGTACATCCAAATACCTTAAAATGCGATACATCTGGTTTCTTTCCATAGAAGCTTTCATAAGGTGTCATTCCATTAACAGCTGCTGTAGTACTTCGATTTCTAATAACGACTGCTGTGCATAAAGCTTCAGCCCAAAACCTTTTCTCAAGATTTGCATGACACATCATGGACCTAGCTGCTTCTTGTATAGTTCGGTTCATTCTCTCGGATACACCATTCTGTTGTGGTGTTCTAGGTACACTTAATTGATGTTGAATTCCCTTTTCTTTAAGATAGTTCATGAACTCTTTGGATCTATATTCACCGCCATTATCTGATCTAAGGATTTTGATCTTCTTCTCTGTGAAATTTGTAACCATAGCTTCATATTCCTTAAACTTCTCTAATACCTCATTTTTTCTTTTTATAAAGTAAACAGCTGTGAATCTGGACTTATCGTCAATAAAGGTAACATAGTAACGACTACCACCATAACTGTTTTCTTGCATAGGTCCACAAACGTCACTGTGAATGATTTCAAGAATTTCCTTTGCTTGAGTTGCTTGTCCTTTGGGAAATGAAATTCGATTCTGTTTGCCCTTTGCACAACCTTCACAGAACTTAGGTTCTTTGTAGACTCAAAATCCAACCCATTAACCAATTTGTGATCTCTCAATAATTGCAAATTCTTTATACTCAAATGACCATACCTCTGATGCCATAAATCCTCTTGATGATCTTTTTTAACCATATTGACATCATGGAATTTATCATTCTTTAAACTTGCATCAAGTATGTATAAGCTATTTCGTAGCTTACCAGATCCCATGACAGTTCCTGATGTGTCAAAGATAACACATCCACTTTCTTGAAGATGAATTGAATATCCTCGCTTAGTCGTGGCACTTACTGAAAATAGATTCTTCGCAAGGTCTGGAACATGCAAAACATCCACCAATCTTACAGGTTTATATTTCTTACCAGCTTTGATGTTAAGCCAAATATTTACTTTTCCAAATGCTTGGACAACACGATTATCTCCCAGACGTACCTTTTGTGGGCTTGCAAAATGAACATAGCCAACCATCATTTTCTTTTCATATGACATGTGTTGGGATGCTCCTGAGTCTATATACCATTCAAAGTCTTTATGATTTTTAGATTCCGATGACCAAAATAATGCATGTTCAACAGATGCAGTAAATGATGTATCTTCTTTTCTTTCTTTGGGGTCTCTTGACTTATTTTTGTTGGGTTTATTGCAATTTCCTGCCCAATGTCCAGGGATTCCACAATTGTAACATTTTCCTTTTTTCTTGTATTTTATTTTTATTTTATTGTTTCTCTCATTTTTTGACAATAAAGCATCTTCTCCAGCATCTGCACTTGATAAATTTTCTTTACGTTTGTAGTCTTCATGCAACAACCTTGCTACTACAAATTCCAATGTTAAATCATCAGCACGAGAATCTAAAGCTGTAATCAAGTTACTGTAGTATTCCGGGAGGCTACATAAGAGCGTTGCAACCAGATCATCCTCTGTTATAGATGCACCCAACGCTTCAAGCTGACTTGCCAAAGCTTTCATTTTATTAATATGCTCAGTCATAGATTCATCAATCCCCATAGTTGCCGAGAAATATTTCTTTCGAAGAAACAGTTTGTTCGCCAAAGACTTTACTTCATAGTGGTCTTCTAATTTTGACCATGCTTCCTTCGCTGTTTTAGCCGATCGAACTATTGACAATTGTTCGTCCTTTAATGATAAACAGATTGTAGCGAGAGCTTTTCTTTCTCGTCTTTGAAATTGTTTGCGTTGAGTTTCAGTAGAATCTTCAACAGAAGGCTCAACCTGGACGCCATTAACAATATCCCAAAGATCTTTATCTTCTAGGATCATTTGTAACTTAAATTTCCAAAGATGAAAGTTCTCTCCATTAAATTTTTCGATTCGATACAACATTGCGTGTTCGTAACTACCTGACGCCATTGTCAAAACTTGTCAAAAATACGGCTAATTTATCTATAAATTACACTCAACAAGTCCTCAAACCAAACAGGCGCTCTCTGGGCCAATAACCTGTTAGTATTTAGCAAAATCATTCGGTTTGAGCAAACATTTATTTGATGTAGTGAGACAATTAAATAAGTAGATTCAATACAAAACTATAATCGTAACGAACGACTCAGAGGAATGTCAATAGTTTATATATACAAAAATATCACGTGACTAAATAGACTGAACTATATATGTGAATACGAACTAGAGTTCTATTTTTGGTATAGTGATGAGGTATAATCTTTAACAATGAGTACTTTCATACACTTCTTCATCATCATCAGCATACTGATCAGTTCTAGCAGGGTTGGTAACAAACCATGCAATTTCCTCTTTGTATCCGAATATGTGATGATCTTCCAGTTCCATGAAGAAATCGTAAAAGTTATCCATAATTGTTTCTTCAAGCCTTCTTTTTGAAGTACCATCATAAGAATAATCAGGGCACAGCTGAGAAAAAAGATATTTTGCATCTACATCACGAGTTTCTTTCCTCTTCACCAAAACATTTTTGGCTACTTCTTAATTACTTTAACTGCTTGCAGTACACCGGAAACTTTTAGCCCTTTAGCAAACTCTTTAAGAAAAAGAATTCTTTGCGAATTATGCTCACCATTACAGTTTATATTAAATCATGAGTGTGCAAGCCATCTATAATGCCAGTTACCCACTCTCAATAATGAAATCTCTGTGAGTATGAACATCTTTCTTTATACTTTCCAAGAGCTCGCGATCAGCTTCAGTAAAATGCTCTACAAGTACTAAGTTACTCATATCAATATTAAGATTAAGCATCAAGTTGTAAGCACTTTTTTTCAAAATGCATGGTTGGGGACTTGTTCGAGCAATGGAAGTAGCAGCCAATTGACTACAAGCTGAAAAAATTTTTGTTTTGAATATTGTACATAAAGCCAATTGGTGTTCCATTGGGAAACGTTGTCGAACTTATTTGCAAGATTGTTTCAAACAAAAATTCTGCAGACATGGCACCCAGTCAATGCCATCTTCTCGCATCTATTGAACTCAATGTACTTTGTTGGGGTCAGATCTTTTGCATTCTTGCTGTCATAAAGATAAAGATCGAAGAATTGAAACACTGCGTTGCAAAACAAGGAAAAACTGTACATTGTCGTCCACTTATTTCTCAATGCATTTCATAAATATGGAATGATCGACGTTGTCAACTTTATATGAATTGGGAATGTCTCTTCGTTCTTCACCAGCAGTGAAAACAGTTGTAGGCAATGGTAATTTCAGTGACAACAGTTGTAGGCACTGGTAAAGTTAAGTAATGGAAGCTGTTGTTTTTATGCAGTAAACGACCGTAGCATGTTGAAATTTAGCAAATATGGAAGGACGTTTGAAAACGTGAGAATCTATTGTTAGCGATTAGACTTTAAATTGGTATTGGTTAAAACTAAAGTGTCTTTCTCGTAGACTCGTAAAGCAACACTTTGTTATTAACCAATGCTAACTCAGGGTTACGTATTAGCAACGATGAGATGGCGATTAGTAAACTTAGTAACGTCAAGTTTTGAAAAGTAACAAATGTTTAATTTATGCACAACGCATGATCAATTACAAACGTGTAATGAATGAGTTAGTGGTCAAGAACTATTTGTATAAGAGTTTGTATGCACTTCGTTTACCAGAAAAAATCTCAACTTGAAGGGGTAAAAAGACCACGACAAATAACATGTTACATGTGCAAATTCTTCAATCCGGGACGAAAATCCTAAAATCGACACCCCACTAAAATTGTAATGTCAACATAGTTCTAACTTTCAAAAACAAAAAGAAATAACTTTCTGAAGTTCTTGACATGATTAGAAGGTTCATTTTGGCGGGAGGAAAACTTTGCATAACATCAATATTTACTCAGAAAATTACTATATACATCTCTCGTCAAATGTAAAGTTTTCATAAACTAACCAATTTTCTAGGCATAGATTGCATTTTCATATTTTTAAAGAAAAAATCACATAAGATGAAAAAGAACATTTAACCACAGTACAGAGAACATACAGTAGAGCCACTGCTTTGAATTTTTCGTGCCACGCATATCTTTGGGAGATAGCATCTCCAATCATGCCTCACCGACCTTTTTTGCCGACGCCACTTTTGACTAATCGCTGTGTGTCTAATAAAATGCTGTTAATTGTATTGAGCAAACTATTTATTTTTAAAGTAAGAACATTTGTAAAATAAGCAAATGTTAAACATAGGAAGAATGTATTTACACAGAGAAAGAACACAACCGAATTCATTTTTGTCAAATATTGATTTATGCAACACAGTGAGCTTTTTAAAATTATACTTTTGATCTTGTTTGTTTAACAGTTTTAAGGTTTACTTTCATTGCATCCTTTACTGTTATATCTACAGTGTTTTTATTGATCATAATTGTGTGCAGTTGATGTTTGCCACGTATTCATAATTTACAATGGTTTATTCAATAACAAAGGTTTTTTATACTATGAACTGACTTGAGCAAGAATATACAAGTATGGAATTTTTGATTAATGAAGAGAAATAATCCTATCACAGTTTCGACAATCGTGCCTTAATCATTGGCATTCAAATCCTGTCTTAGATAGATCATTCTCTATTCCTGAGTTAAAACTTGTGAAACTTTATACGATTTAGCATTAGCCCTTTAGAATTTGACTAATCTCAATGTCATTATGTACTCTGCATGAGGTTCTTCTTTATGTATTTTTATTTCTATAACAATTGTTTTTAGTCAGTGATGTATACTTAGTTATATAACTAGAATGTTCTACATAGATGTTATTAATGTTTTAATATACTGTTTGTTGCAAGAGATCCTGACTCACTTTTCATTTTCGTTCGCTATTTAAATGTGTTTATGTAACAAAACTTACATGGATGAAATTTTGATGCAACAATAAGGTATGTATAATGATTATTATTATTATGATGATTGAAAACGTATTTTATTATGATCATTATTATCTATTACAAATGTAAATGTTAAAAAACTGAATCAAATATGACTAAAATCAGTGTTTAAAAATATCCATGATAAAGGGACAGTCAAATGTAAAGACAAATTTCCCAATAACCTAGGTCAATATTTAAAGTATGTTCGCGAGTTGAGGCAGATCGACTTCCTCGTATCGCAGTAATTGCTGACCTAATCAGTGCGAAAGACAGTTTACAACGCATCCACGCTAGCTTGATGCCATATTGCAGCTTTCTCTTTTGTGCCAGCACATCAGCTAGCCGTTTATAAGCAATTGCCGTCTCTTTCCCCATACCACCTTATGCTGCAAAGACCAGTGGTGTAAAAGCAGCATATTCAATCTCTCTTACTCGATCACCATATTCCCTTTTCTTAGCCATCTCATGCTGACGATAGAGTGCAGGTAGATTGGTGTTTTGGTAGCTCGACGCGTTTGGGTGAAATACCCTTACATCAAAAAATGCATCTTGCTGTCTAGACCAAAAACCTTTAGCACGAATATCTAGTCTCGCTTCTTCTTGTCTATTGGCTGTACGAGGTAATATCACTTCCCCAGAAAGAGGTTGTAATTGTGGCTCTTTCACAACTGTCGAGCAAACTTCTGCCATCCACTGTGCTGTTATATCTCGAACTTCATAATGTCTCACTATTGGTAAACCACCATGAGAACATATCATCGCGTGATCGGTTGCAAAAGCCTTTGTATAATGATCACCATTTTTTAACCAATATGTATGCGGTCGCGTTGTTTATATTAAATCTCTCATCCGTTTGTTGAGTATGTGACATGTAAAGAACTAAAGGAAGCATAATTTTGTTCACGCGGTCGTCTTACTTCTAAAACGATGGTAAATTTAGAAAAATTAAGCGATATTATAGAACTACATTACCGACATAACAAATTAGCTAAAGCAGCATCTCGATAAAGTATGACTAAACATGCATGAGAAATCATATTTAAATTGATATACCAATTTTCTAACTATTGACAATAAGCTGCATGGTAAAGGAAAGCAAAACCTGTTCAAAAGTATGGGAGAGGTGAAATAGCATACTTGTCTATAAAAAAATGGGAATCTGTGAAATTTTATGTAGGGGGGATAGAATGTCCAATCATGCATTACCTCCCTTTTTTGCCGACGCCACTTTTGACTAATCACTGTGTGTCTAACAAAATAGTGTTAATTGTATTGAGCAAACCATTCATTTTAAAGTAATAACAATTGTAAAATAAGAAATGTTAAACATAGGAAGAATGTATTTACACAGAGAAAGAGCACAACCGAATTCATTTTTGTGAAATGTTGATTCATGCAGCACAGTGAACTTCTAAAACTTTACTTTTGATCATGTTTGTTTAAGAGATTTAAGGTTTACTTTCATTGCATCCTTTACTGTTGTATTTAGAGTGTTTTTATTGATCATAAGTAATTATAATTGTGTGCAGTTGATGTTTGCCACGTATTCATAATTTACAATAGTATATTCAATATCAATGGTTTTTTATAATATGAACTGACCTGTGCAAAATATACAAGTATGGAATTTTTGATTAATGAAGGGAAATAATCCATTCACAGTTTCGACAATCGTGTCTTAATCATTGGCATTCAAATCTTATCTTAGATAGATCATTCTCCATTCCTGAGTTAAAACTTGTGAAACTTTATACGATTTAGCATTAGCCCTTTAGAATTTATCTAATCTCAATGTCATTATGTACTCAGCATGAGGTTCTTATTTATGTATTTTTATTTCTATAACAATTGTTTTTAGTCAGTGATGTATACTTAGTTGTATAACTAGAATGTTCTACATAGATGTTATTAATGTTTCAATATACTGTTTATTGAAAGAGATCCTGACTCACTTTTCATTTTCGTTCGCTATTTAACTGTGTTTATATAACAAAACTTACATGGATGAAATTTCGATGTAACAATAAGGTATGTATAATGATCACCATTTTTTAACTAATATGTATGTGGTCACGTTGTTTATATTAAATCTCTTATCCGTTTGTTGAGTATGTGACATGTAAAGAACTAAAGGAAGCATAATTTTGTTCACGCGGTCGTCTTACTTCTAAAACGAAGGTGAATTTAGAAAAGTTAAGCGATGTTATAGAACTACATAACCGACATAACAAATTAGCTAAAGCAGCATCTCGATAAAATATGACTAAACATGCATGAGAAATCATATCTAAATTGATATACCAATTTTCTAACTATCTAATAATAAGCTGCATGGTAAAGGAAAGCAAAACCTGTTTAAAAGTATGGGAGAGGTGAAATAGCATACTTGTCTATGGAAAAAATGGGAATCTGTGAAAATTTATGTAGGGGGGATAGAATGTCCAACCATGTATCACCTCCCTTTTTTGCCGACGCCACTTTTCACTAATCGCTGTGTGTCTAACAAATGTTGTTAATTGTATTGAGCAAACTATTCATTTTTAAAGTAATAACATTTGTAAAATAAGAAATGTTAAACCTAGGAAGAATGTATTTACACAGAGAAAGAGCACAACCGAATTCATTTTTGTGAAATGTTGATTCATGCAACACAGTGAACTTCTAAAACTTTACTTTTGATCATGTTTGTTTAAGAGATTTAAGGTTTACTTTCATTGCATCCTTCACTGTTGTATCTACAGTGTTTTTATTGATCATAAGTAATTATAATTGTGTGCAGTTGATGTTTGCCACGTATTCATAATTTACAATAGTATATTCAATATCAATGGTTTTTTATAATATGAACTGACTTGTGCAAAATATACAAGTATGGAATTTTTCATTAATGAAGGGAAATAATCCATTCGCAGTTTCGACAATCGTGTCTTAATCATTGGCATTCAAATCTTATCTTAGATAGATCATTCTCTATTCCTGAGTTAAAACTTGTGAAACTTTATAAGATTTAGCATTAGCCCATTAGAATATGACTAATCTCAATGTCATTATGTACTCTGCATGAAGCTCTTATTTATGTATTTTTATTTCTATAACAAGTGTTTTTAGTCAGTGATGTATACTTAGGTATATAACTATAATTTTCTCCATAGATGTCATCAATGTTTTATTACACTGTTTGTTGAAAGAGATCCTGACTCACTCTTCATTTTCGTTCGCTATTTAAATGTGTTTAATTCAAAATCAAACATTTTACATTAAGAATTTTACATTAAAATGATCTAACTGCTAAACAAGCTATAGGAACATTGTATTAAATGGGTAAACAGAATAATTTACAAAACGAATGATATCTGAATCATGTGGGATATTCACGTTGAATTATATACCAACACTGCCAATACGTTTATTGACATCGACTGAGGCAATAACCATCACATAATTTTGTTAGCTGTTTACACACGTATGATAAGAACTAGGGGCATTGTTATGTGATTTTGCTTTTACCAATAAATATACTAGCTTTATTTTTAAATATTTGACTCATTCATATTATTTTTTCAAGCATACAACCTTTGTGCTTACTTTGTACATGCCATGATGACATTTAGAATTGCAACAAAGGAACGAATGAATAACAATAAAGCCTTCACAGTTCCTCGATCACAAAAATCACATACTTTACTTCATTATTTCATATACTTCGTGTTTTAATACCATAGAAAGCAGTGAAAGGTTTTACTGAGCTACATTTATGTACATTTTGGTAGTATTATATTGATAAATTTGACCTTAGTTTAATGACACGTTTATTTACATCTTTCCGAACTTTTAAAGCTCACTTGGACAATGCTTTCTCGTATTCGACTAGATACTTAATCAAAAAAACTATCTTTACTAACTTCAAAAGGTTAGGCAAATTGTAATTCGGACGTCACGTATTAAATATTTCTTAGCTCACACATGTTGACGCAAGCGATCACAAATATCAATTTTACCTCTTCCAACGCCCGGTACTAGCAACTTGTACTTAGTAGGATGTACTGTCTGTCTAGTATATAGTCCAATTCGGGTTGGGATTAAACACGGATCTTCTTAAAATTTTACTTCGTTTGATGTGGTGGTGTTTAGCAAAACTATCACGAAAATGTTTTGCATCGTGTGCTTTTGCTTAAATTGTTCCATGTGCCAAATTGTAGGAAAGTAAAACCAAAACGTTTTAAAACATCAATCAAAAAAATGCTTCGCAAAAATTAGTTTACACGTGAATATATTTAGCATATAAGCCGTCTGCCAAAGACATTATCTATACATTGTTTTTCTGCCTGAAAAAGTGACCTTATGTCTCAAGTTGCAGGTTAAATGTAGCGGGTAAAATGAAGTAGAATTTCACTTTAAAAGTAGATGTTCGTAGAAAAAGTTTATTTTGAATTGTCGGGGATTCTTTATTTCTGTATATGCACACATAAATGTGTATTATGTTCTCTAGGAAACAACGTCCTCTGCTGTTAACACTAAAATATTTTCTTAGCGCTGAAAATTCATGACTTGCATTTGTTATGCACATAGGCCCGTTCACACGATGCGATTTGTCGTATCCGATTGTTTCGGTTCCGACTTTAATTTGGTTACTGGCTCAGACGGTCGAATAATTTTGTTGATATTTATGCTTGTTTAGATATTTATATTTGTATTATCCAGAACATTATCGATATATTTTTCATATTTTGTTCTTGTTCACTTGTCTTTCTCAAATCTATGTAATTTGACTAGTCAGTTTTCTTTGACCTTGTTTAATGAAATTAGAACAAGCTCTTTTTTCATACGATTTTTAGATGGACGAATCAGACTGTAGGAGGCTCACTTTTTTGTGTACACAGGATCCGTTTTCTAGGATCCGAAAATTTGTCAGTAAACTGTGTAATAAACTGACAGTTGCATCAAATTTAATCGTTCTCAAGTAACAAACAATAACATCGATTTCATTAAAGTTGAAATACATAAATGCTTCTTTTCTCTTGTCATTGTCGATATAATAAGCATGCAAGTGATATATATATTAGTAGCTGCTTTAGAAAAGACTTAGAAATGAATATAATTGAAGCAGAACATTAAATCACTGTGTTTAACATGATTTTTTTATGTTGGAAAGTTATTTTTGTCATCGTTTAATCTTAAAATGATCGTTGTAGAGGATTTTCATCACTTAGTTACGTACGTCAACATATTTTGAACTTTTGATATGATAAAACTTGTTTGTTGATATGTGTTGATTTACTACTGAAACAACATACTAAAGTCAATATTTTATATGTGTTCTTCATCTTTTATAAATGATCAATGATTGTGAACAATGTGTGGTCGCTAAATATATTTTTGTTACAAGTTTTATCTATTTAATTGATATCATTCATGTACAGGAATATCAATAATTGTTGGGTGGGGGCTCATATTAATTTATGTATATGATATGTTTTTATTCTTCAGTTGCTAGCTATTTCATGTAGTTTGTCTATTTTTTTTGAATAATAATCTAACCAATGAAAAATGGTTTTGGTCATAGGCATTCAGATTCTTAAATCTTTTACTCAATTTTGGGTCAACTCTCATAAAAATTATGTCCACCAATTTTTCATTGGTTTTCTTATTACAATGTTTTGTTGACCATTTTTATTGCTTTCGTCACTTTTGTCGAATTCTTGGTACACTCACTTTTTTTGCAAGAAAAACTTTGGCAGGACTGTAAGATGATTGTTAATTTGGAGATCATATCAAGTATACATAATATAGGCTACATTTGTTAAGATCCTTTGAAAACCATTGTTGTCTAGGGATCATTACATCCAAATGTTTATGCTACCCCAACCACAGTATAGAGAATATACAGTAGGACCACTTTCTGTGCAACTTATTGCTATATATATAATTATATTACTGGGTGTAGTTTGCCAGCACATTGCCCCTATTGGTCAAAAAATGGTAGTGTTTGACTGCCACTAAGGTAATCACTTGCGGAATAAGATATGCATGGCACAAAAATATTCAATGCAATCTACTGTATGTTCTCTACAAAATTATACTTTATGTTCCTGTAACTGTGCCTCAATTACATTATGTCTTCCTTAGTTCCTAAGTCGTGAATGAAACATTAGTCCAAATAAATTACACCTGCTCATTTTTTTTATCATAATACCTTCTAAACAATGATAATGGTTTTGAATTTTTAAAGAATAAAATTTCCAGTGGTGTAGCCAGACTGATAAAATGTTTAGTCCTTCTATGTACATTTTTATATTCTTTTACTGTGAAAATAATAGGCATTTTACCTTATGAGTCTTAAAGTGTCCCTTCCACCAAAAAATTATTTAACAATATCAAATCTGTCAATGATGTAAGCCTCGTTGAGGGAAACATTTTGAATTTGGTCAAATCGTTTGATTTTTATAAAACCGTTAAATTGACTAAAATCGTATATTCTTGTGAACCATGTCCCTGATAATGAGGAGTCTGAAACTAGCAAATTTTCTGACGTCATCCAAGGTACTCGTGTTGCACGAGTCGTGTATTTAATTGCTATCAAGTCAATGCTGTCTGAGGCACAACTTAAGTCTATAAGCGCCTAAAAGCATTGCCTTTGCACTAATAAAAGCAGAAAAAAGGTAAATAGTTGCGTTGCAGCCAATTGTACGAATGAGTCAAACCTTTGCTCTCGTATGAGTCTTCACACTATGTTTTATAATGATAAAAGACACGAGGCCAAGCGAAGACGGAATATCTGGGTTTTAAAGCAAAGCGCGTATTCGAGCCTTCCATTGCTTCAACACTTTGTTCGGCTCGATTAAAACGAGAGGATTTGGAGCGTCAGTTTAGTAGTTTGCCGTATCAAAAGAACGCTAATTTTCCAGGGCTTAAAAAAGATGAGATTAGAATTTGTGTCTTTCCGATCATCAATACTTTGGAGTCAAAATCCGAACCATTATCGTTGATTATTTTGTGGCATTTTGACATCAAAATATTTTTTGTTATTTCTCATATTTTATTATTACGTAATGACCTTGGGACTTGACCTTGAGAATGGCCTTGGGACTTCACTTAATGAAAAATACAACACTAAGCAGTTGGACTATTGACTACTGTTTGTTCCATGTACTGTAACTCTGGTCAAGGCTACCCGCATGTACACACTTGTACCTATTTTTATGTACCTTGTACATCTGGGGACGGTTGCATGAAGCCTGGATAGCATTGTTCGTCGGATAGTTAAATTTTCAAACTTGTAGAAAAAGGTGTTTATATTTTCCTTAGGGGAAAGATATTTTGTAATCTTAGAAGCAATATTTCAATGATTGCTTAGTACAAATCACATATTATTCCTTTTTAAGAGATTTTGTAAAAGTTCAAAACAATTTGCTATCTAATGGATAAAACTATTCTGCCTTCATGTAACTGGCCGCAGGTTTTCCTTTATAATCACAATGAATTTGTACCATGGAAGTCTTACCTACTTTTTTCTACAGGTAGCGACATGGAGTCTGTCTTGAGCTCTAAAAAGAAAACTAATGGTTTTAAGTTGATGAGATTAATTGTTGATGTTGGTGGAGAAGCTTTAAGAATAACATTGAGGAAACAACTGTCAGGTACTGATTTATTTTATGTTTTAAATGACCGAAAATGCGCAACTACTTTCAAGTCTAAAGAATAGACAAATCCATCCACATCAATGGGATCAACTGTATCCAGATCCTCCAATATTACCAAATGAAAATAAGTTTGACATTACTTTACTTTGTATTCTCTTGCGTAATATTTGTGGTTTAAAACCACCTCTTGATCCAATATGGACATCAGTAATTGACACCACTGATGATTCAACTGAAGCAGATATTACCCGTATCAGGTTATTTCGTAATGATCGTTTTGCTCACTTACCTGACACGTCACTAAGCTTTGATGAATTTGAATATCATTGGGCGGAAATAAGCGAACCATTAGTTCGTTTAGGAATAAGTCAGGAAGAAATAGATAGATTGAAAAATAAGTTTTTTGGTAATGAAGAATATGAAAGAATTTTGAGAGAATGGGATAGATTAAAGAACGATTTAACTGATATTAAAACTGATCAGAGAGGTATTAAGAGAACAGTGGACGGTGTAGAGAAAGATTTACAACATGTAGAGAACCGTTTGTGTGTGATTGAAAGTAATCAGGAAGAAATGAGAAGCAATCAGGAAGAAATGAGAAGCAGTCAGGAAGAAATAAAACATCAAATTCACTCCAGTCCAGTAGAAGATATTTTGACAAAAAACCTTGTAAGTTGTAACTTTGAGAGTGAAATTAGACATCATTATGAAAAATTTTTGAAGGGAACACGGGAATGGGTTTTTGACGAGTTTTTAGCTTGGTTCGAAGACGACAGTTCTCAAAATCGTGCATTTATTATTTCTGCTGTTGCTGGTATGGGTAAATCTGTAATTGCAGCTACTTTATGTAAACGTTATCCTCATTACTTGACTGCAGTTCATTTCTTTCAACACAACAACAGTCGTTACAATAAAGCCAATGTACTTCTTCAATCTTTAGCGATGCAAATTAGTCGTAAGTTTCCTGCTTACAAACAACTTCTTGTGAAAAAACTTTCAGGTCAACTCTCTGAGCCTTTGAATAACATGAATGTGGAAGGATTATTTTCCTTCTTTTACTGAGTTGTTTTATAATATCTCAGAAGTTCCCAAGCGAATGTTAGTTGTGCTTGATGCTCTTGATGAATGTGGTTATCGAGAAAGAGATGACCTTGCTAAGTTGATTGCTAATCATTTACACAAACTTCCGCCTTGTTTTCGCTTTGTAATTACAACCAGACCTAACGAAGTTGCTTTGAATAAGTTTGAAAAATTAAATCCACTGTTCATTAATTGTAGCGATGATCGCAATTTAGAGGATATTAAATTTTGATTGAAGAAAGAATTGGCTCTACTGACAGCCTTCCTGATGTTAAAAACAGTTTGGCAGAAAAGCTGACGGACTTATGTTGCTTGCATCACTTCTTAGCAGCGAAGTCAAAAATCAGGATTTGTTGAAAGGTTCCATACCAAAAGATCTCAGTGAATATTACGAAATTTGCTTAACAAGATTAAGTAAGGAATTAGATTCGTTTCATATCAGTAACGAAAAGTTTCAGTCAATTTTAAATGCTTTGGCTGTTGCTAAAGAACCTCTTCCTTGGAAAATGATCGATGACGTTCTTTGTTTTAATTCGAATCGTGACTCACTTGCGGTTAGAAAAATTATCTCTTGTCTGTTTGTTAGCAATGAAGAAGGATGTGTTTCGTTTTTTCACAAATCTTTGAATGATTGGTTGTTGGATGATCGAGAACATGATTACTCAGTAAAAACTTCTTGTGGTCATCGACTTGTTTTAAAATTTTGTTTAAAATCTTTGGATAACCTCAAAGCTGAAGGTGTAAACTATGACGTCATTAAACATGTGACAGTGAGGTATTCAGTCAAGTATTGGTTGCTTCATTTGCTTGATATTTCTGACAATGATTATATCGTTGAAAATGTTGGTAAATATCTTGTTGATTTGGAAGTTTTAGTTGCTTCTCTGTTGGTTGATAGTCTTCGTACTTCTGAAAATATTTCCTTATTCAAAGCACATGATGTGTACTTTCTTATTTCAGAGGACATTCGATTGTTATTTAATGAACTTTATTCTTTAAGGACGTACTCTGAGCGTATTGACAAGGAAGTATTTTTTTTGCAAAACGTTGCCAACGAAGTCAAAGATCTGTCGTCTCACGCCACCACAATGCTTCAAACACGTTTTAAAGATTCGCCGTATCTAGAGTGCAGAGACACGGGTTTTGTAAAGGCTCGATTATTACGTTTCAATGGTCTTTTTATTTCTGTTGATGTTTCACGAAATCATGATTACGTCGTATGTGGTTATTCTGGATTCATCGTGCAACTTTTTTCGTTGAGAACAAACCGATGTTTATGGATAAAAAATATTGCTGTTCAGTTTAAGCAATATAAAGAGGAAGGTTTTAGCGTTGTCTTTCATCCATTCGAAGATTTGATTTTTGCTTCCCAGCTTGATAAGGTACTAAATATTAATGGTAAAATTTCTTCAAGTCCGTTCCATTGCGATGATTCTACTTCTAAGTTCTTTACCAACAAATGTTTTTCTAAGGATAAGTGCACAATGGTCACTAGTTACAAACATACTTTGACAGTATGGGACGTTGTGAAAGGTGAGAAGAAACGCACTATTAGATGTAATAATGTTCCCTCACTGTGTTTTTCTAATTCTGGAAGATATTTGTGTGTTATTAAGAAAAATAAAGGGTTTCAAATATTTGATGTAGCGAATAATTACAAAAAATTTGTTTACAAGTATCATTCACCGTCTTATGACTTAGATAAGTATGTTGTTTTGTTCACTGTTGGTCTTCATTCTTGGTGTTGTTGTTGGTCGAGCAATTTATACAGGAGAAACCCTTTCATTGTAAATCCCACTGATGAGAACCTTCCTGACTTAGATCTTGATTCCCACACTTCATTTTTTCCTCTTGATCCTTTCGATGACAACACATCTAGCTTTTCCATTGATGGAAGTAGTAAGTTTTATTTTGTTTTGAACAACGACAATGTCCTTTTGTCTGAATACCGACATGACTTTTCTCTTTATTCCATACCGCGTGCATGTTTAACTAACAGTTATAGTTTTCGTAACCAGAAATTTTGCTCAAATGAAAAATTTCTATATCGGAGCAATAAAGAAAATTCAATGATAATTATATACAATCTCAACACATTTGACTTTGTTGTCAAGGAATTTTTTGTTAGGGACATGGCTGTTGTAGAAAATGGAGTTATTTTGCTAACGGCAAAAAATATTCCTGAGCTTTGGAATAAGGATTTGACAAAACTTGTTTATAGTTTCGATGAACTAAAAGGTACAAACAAAATTTTTGAGGTGAATGATGTGTCATTTGCTTGTCAAAAAACTGATTCTTTAGTGTTTTTTAATGTTGAAAACAGGCGAAAAGAAATATCAGTGAATTTTGAAAATTATCGAAATGTGCACGTATTTGCATGTAGTTCTAAGTATCACGTGTTTGCTAAAGTTGAATTTAAGGATGAGATAATTTACTGTATGTGGCATGAAGACAAACAAGTTAATGGTTCGGATGACGTAATTAAGGAGGAAATCACCAATTTAATCGCAGAAAAAGACCTTGCAGAGTGGAATCGTGACATTACTCGCTGTATAAATTACGCTGCTTTTTCACCTTCAGCAGATAAATTATTAATATTTTACGTGCGTCAGTATTTGGAAGTATTTGACGTTGAAAACATACAAATTATTTATAGTTTTACTGAGGGTATTCTTGAGCCAAAGTTTTTCTTTGTTGATGACAGGTATATAATTAGTAGTAAATACAATTTGATTGATTTAAAATATTCTAAGATTGTAAAATTATTTCCCCCGCATGTGGGAGTTTATTCAAGAAATTTATATTACTGTCGTAAACGCAAACTTGTTTTGACTTTTTCTTCCTTAATGATCCCGGTAAAGTGCGTAAAAATCATTTTGCCACGAGGATAAGTTTGATCTTTGATGATAAAATTTCTCACCATTTTGAATAATGACTATATTATCTTTAAGAAATCTTGTTCAGTCTTTATGCATGATCCCTATCATTGTTGACGTTTCAATTAATATCTGTTTGCGTATGATTTCATAAAACGACCTTTGTCTAAGTTTGATTGTTCTGTACAGAGACCGCAGTGTACAATAACGTCAACATTGAGAGGGATCATGTATAAAAGCTGAAGTTAATCAATTAAAGATGAAAATTCAATGACAATAAAGACAAATCATAAACACTAATGATTTCGTGTCTAAGATAATAATTTTTCTTGCACAAGAAAATAATTTTATTGACTTTCATCTGATCACACAAACATATAAAATGCAAACTATTATTAATTATTGTACCATTGGTTATATTTTGTTCATATCTACACCATGTAAACATATAGTTTTCATGCAATTGTATTCAGTGTAGGATGGCTTTAATATGACACGATTTTCGATACTCTTTTACACCAAAATCAAGTAGTTACTAATTAAATTAATACTAACTTTCACTGAAATAATTTCTTAATACTTTTTAATTATTGCGTTTTGATATACAAAATATCTTTGTGTTAAGTTGTTAAGAGAGACAAAGACAGCACAATTTTTACACAATTGTTATAAGAATACTTTCATCTTTACCAATTTGAAAAACGTAAAGTTTTAATAAAACAAAGGTACCTTTGCTAATTTTTTCAAAAGAAGTAAAAATTTGGCTGTCTTTCTCACTGACTGTTAAAAAGTAAATCGTAAACTCCAGTAGAAAATGGCTTATGATTGACGTTCATCATCGTGATAAACTTGTTTACCATTGTCACTGAACACTCCAAACCGTATAAACAGGAAAAGTTAACGAAAGTCAAAGAAGGTTTTGCAATATAGAGAGACAGAAAACAAACAATAATGTTGCGTATGGAAAGATATTTAATGACAAGTTTTTAACTTTTAATGAAAAATCGATATCAAGCATTGTTAAAGATTGAACACTTTTACTTTGTAAATCGATACTTTATGCGAATTATTTTTTAACAACATCAACTCAAGCATCAGTTGACATATGCAAGTTACTTTGCCAAAGTTTGATATGTTTATGTCTATAAATCATCATTGTTTACTCTTAATTCATACAATAATACAAGGAAGTTTATTTCATTGACGTAATGAAAAAAATAATACAAGAAAAATTTATTCATGGTTCTCTGTGGATTTATTTTGTACATTGTAACGTCACCCAGGTCACGTGTTCATTGAAATGTCATCTGTTGTCAAAATTGGAAGATATGAACTTTTACATTTTAAAATGGTGAAGCTGGCTGTTCACTTTGTTCACTTTTATAAAACTGAAGCGTGAAAATTATCATCTCATGTGGACGTTTTGATTTGAACATAACGCATAAGTAATCATGAGAGTGAATAAAAAGAATTTGATTTTATTACATTGTGGCTATCGAAGATGGCTAAAGGATATTTTTGCTGCATCTATAATTGAAGCTGCTTCTTGATACAAACACACTGTCATTGTGAATATTATGACACTTGATTGCCTTTGCGCATGCTCTGAAATATATATGTACTTAAATGATACTATAACATTTGTGATATAAATTAAGATCTTAACAGCAACAAGTCATAAAAATTCAAAGCAAACGTCCACTATGGATGGTTGTAGAATGAAAGTGATCAGTTTAGTTCATATAAATGGTCAACAAATTATTCATAATTAAAGTAACTTCAACATGTAAGAACTACATCAAGTTATGAGAATGAAAAATATGGAAAAATTTCAACGTCTTTCTTTTTCAAGATGTCATATTTCTAAATCCACTGTGTTTTATTTTTATGTAGTGAACAATTTTAGATCATTAAATTTATTTCATATTGTTGTGTACATATCTACGTATAGTGAATAGATATCTTTCATAACATCCCATAAACGAACATCTACCGTAAGCAGACATTAGGTCGTGGTCTCAACGATGTCCGTTTACGAGTAGCTTGACTGTATGCAGACAGTTCATTACTGCACTTTTTTTACATTTCTAGATTTGTCTCTTACTTTTTAAATTTTAAATGCTAAATAAATGAATCCCACATAACTCAACACCATTTTTTGGACTAATAGTAATTTGCCAACTGCCATGTGAAGATTACTGGTGCTTTAGAAAAGGAGGTGTCGTATCTTGAATTAAAAAATAACAATTTTTAAATTTAGCAATCAATAGTTGCATTATAAATTTCACTCACATTCAGCAACAATAATTGTTGGTAACTGTCATCTTGTAAAGGAGGTTGAAAAATACCCACATTTTATCAAAACAGAACAAGTGCAGTTGCCATTTTAAAGACTGTTGGGATTCATTCATTTAGCACAAATAAAAAATTATTTAGAGAGAAACTTTCTTTTTGCTCATTGTTTTGTTGAACTTTGTTTTTTAACACATATGAACATAGTTTTATTATATTAGTATGTTAATGTAGGAAATAATCGTATAAATATGTTTTCTACAAAGTTGTTACAATATATGTGTGTTGATCTATATATAGTGTCGTCTCTTAATAAGCTCGAGAAATGTTTTTTCAGTTTTCGGCTTTTTGGCTGTTTTATTCGTTATGATATTAAAATGAGCGGACAAATCCTTCTCACTTGTTTTCCTGGCAGAAATAATGCATTTATTTCACGTCATGTGACTAGTAATAAAGCAATCGCAATTACTATACAAAGCACCTATATAACAATACAGCTAATTTTATAAATTGACATAATTCAAAAGTTGATCTGCCGATTTAAATGGTTTGCCGGATTCCAAAACTAAATCAAACGACTTTCATGCACATCATTAGTCTCCTAGAATTTAGTTCAGAAAAATGCATCAGTGGGATATTGTGATGAGGAATTAAAGTTTCGGAAAAAGTTGAATTTTATAATACTGTTTATAATACGGCTAACCTGACGTTTACTCCTCATTTGACTTTGAAGATGACTACCGCTAAGGTTGTCGAAACGTCAGTCAACAACAACAAAAACAGTCCTTCTCAGGACTATACCAACCTGGACGATCATCATTTACAAACATACTGTTTTTTGATACATCCTGTATTTGTTCATTTTTGGGAACACCCCGTATAATGTATATATGTACGTAAGAATGGTTCACAAGGTGAGATCATCACCTACATATATATCTTTTACACGTAGAATCTTATCAATTTTCTTACATTGAAGTTGTAGAAAACAAATGCTTTAATACTAATGGCTTAATTGTTTAATATGTAATTATGATTAATAAAAATTGGACATGTTGACAGTAGATATATTTAGGAATGAAAGTTGTAAGAAAACAACAAAAGTACGTACGTAGAACTTAAAATTGTTTGATGTTGCTTAGGCCTAGTTCAAACGTCGAACTTTACATGAACCGAACGCATTTAAAATAAAAATTAATGAGGAAACTCATCTCATTTTCTTTTTTCTTTAATGCGTTCGGTGCATGTAAAGTTCGACGTTTAAAACAGGCCTTAGATTGAAATTAAAAGATATCACAAAAACACTTCAATCTTGAAGAAAAAGTTACATTTATATTTTTTGATGAGCCTCCTGAACACGATGTGATTTTTTTTATTGTGTCTATAATTAATTGAAATTGTATTGTTAGTCCTGATTTCAGGACTTTTGTACCGGATTGAGGAAATAGCACATATGTCATGTTGTTCGTCATGGTCATTTTACCCAAAAACAGTTGAGATTACTTCCGGTAAATGAAGTGAATACAAACTCTTAAACCGGTTTTCGACGATAGTACAATACACTGGTTTCTATCTGATTTTCTCATCGTGAAATGTTTGGGTGTAAAGGAGAAGCGTCTTCCTTTCAAATTTTGTTTCATTTCATAATGGGATAGCCGTTAGCAGTTAGTATTTAATATACAGACATAAGATTGAGTTTATATGAAATGTAACAAATTGGATGTTTCTTAAATTTGAATTTGCCAGGAGAGTTTTTCCTAATATCGACAACCTTACTCCCATTTTCCGCGTATGTTTAAAGCTCAGTTAATTTTTCGCGTGTCATTGGCGTGTATGCTACTGGACGTAAGTATGGAACCAAGGCTGTTATACAGCGCGAAGCGCCCAAGGTGGTATATCGATTACAGCCGAGGATCTATAAAAGTCGTTTATTATCTTATTATACGATGGAAGACGTTTTCCAAAAGTAATTATTTCATTATATTTGTGCAAAAAATTGATTCTATATCGAAAGTAATTGTAATATAAACGCAATACGTGAAAGCATAAACAATAGAGAAGTGTCCATTAGTGTTTGAGTCAAAAGAGTGATGAATCCCAGAGGTGTTTGGTTTTCTACTTTATTTAAAATTCATATTTTGCATGCTGTTTTCATGATAGCTTTGCTTCCATACACTTGTGCTTTATTTGAGCTGTGTCTTTGCTTGTTATGGATGTCTGAGACAGTGGCCAGTTTTGAATTTTTTGGAGGTGCAAATATTAAACATTTCAAGACACGATTGACTCTGAAATGAAGCGCTAACAACACAAGATATGGGTTCAAACGTAAAGCAAGTTAAATCATTAATCGTAAATGTGGAAGTTAAAGTTTAAAGCTGCTTGAGGATCATTCACTATGGCGTTATGAAATACAATTTTGTTTCTATTGGGAAGAACTTTGCTTTTTGAAGTTGTCAAGTCAAGTGTACGGAATTATGAGATGAAGTCAGTCATCATTAGATCCGACATGTAACGAGCAGCCTAAGAAGCTTGTGGAGCGTGTGAAATATTTTGTCGTGGATCTGAGGAAGATGATGATAATTCAAACGTAAG